TCTGGCTCCACCTCCACTTCTCATGAATGCCCACACCCCACCTCCAGTACTCACGTTTGTCCTCCCCTCCATCTCCACCTCCACCCTTGTCCATTTACCTGCTTATTAGCCTCAGATTGGAGTACAAATGCCACTTCCTTAGGAAAGCCTTCCCTGATTTCACCCCCCACTTCTATCCCGGGGCAGGTCTCTACTATTGGGTTGTCGGAAAAATCATGATGTATTTTTTTCTGTTTTTTGTTGCAAAAATGCATCATGACTTTTCCGACAACCCAATATAAACACTCATATCACCTTGTATCTCTCTTTCATAGAACTTGGCCTTATTCACATAATTGTTTGATTTACATGCCCAGCTTTGATTAACAGAACTTCTGATTGGAAGGAGAGACTCTGTCATATTCTCTATTGAATACCTAGTGCCTCATTCAATGTCTTGAACCAAACAGTCCCCTCAGTACATATGCATTAGATGAGTGAACACATAAAAGGATGAACCATGGGATTTGGGAACTTGGAGCACATCGAAGAGCTAACCACAATTCTTAGGTTGCTGGCTTGGGTAGCTGGTGCCTTTCATGATCAATGATGGTTACTGTTTTCCACAAAGTATTCTATAGTGGTTGTGCAGATGGTCTTGTCGTTTCTGCTGAAATTGAATGACTATCCAGTATATCCATCCCCCAACCACTGAGGATTCCTACTCAGCCCAGGCTCTCAGAGTTTAATGTTAAAATACTGGATGGTCAGTCAGTCATTCAGGGAGGACCATTAGCGCACAGGCCCATCTATAAGGTCAGGGAGCCTCATGATGCCCCCTCTATAGATTCTGCCCCTCCCTTCTGTGATCTCTCTTTAGAAGTGATTCGAATGACACTGGGAAATGCCCAACCATAATGAATAGAATTGAATGATTGAGTAGTAGCTGACTAAGCTGTCTGAAAGTTAAGGTCTGCTTTCCTTTCCAAGATCTGTGGCCCAAATCAGGCTGCTACTCTCTCTGTTCAGAGGAGATGATGAAAAAGGTAAAAGGACTCTAAAAGTTGGAAAGCATCAAACGTCAGACATAGGTGCAAACAACCCTATAGTAACAGTAATGTTACTCTCCAAAAATTGAGCACATCCCCAATCAAGATACTCAGAGTCATAGTAGCTTGTTAAATCAGATTGGCAGCAAAACCCTCATCTTGAAGTTCCCGACCTGAGCCCCACTAGGTTGCTTATTTTGTTACTTTTCCTTTAAAATATTATAAGCTCATTTTTAACCAGGTTTGAAAGATGTGATTTAGGGGCATTACCCTCTCAAATCATCTCGTTGTGCTATTGTCAGAGGAAAACAGTGTCATCAAAGATGGGTCGACACTGGGCCATTCCATTGAGAAAGAAACTTGCTATGGATCAAATTATTTTCCTATACTGTATCAACGTTTCTTTCAAAGCTACAGTTTAGGCTGGCATTTCTTATTTTCTCTGCAAATTCCCCATCCCAGATACAAATCAAACAGAAGTCTTGGCATCATTAGAACTGCACGCAGAATATTAAATCAGTTTAGAAAACTTTATGCTAATTAGGTTTAACCTTCTTTGTCACCTCAGAATATCAAGCAGGGAAACAAGTGCCCAGGCCACAGTCTCTTGGCTCTTTAAAATGTCTGTAGTTAGCACTTGGTAGAAGTTCAACAGATATTTGTTAAACGGGTGAATAAATGGAGGAACGAATGGCTTCAGTTCCCCCAACATTCTAGGTTGTGGAATGGAAAGAGTAGGTTTGGGAATCAGCGAGGTTAGGGTGTGAACCCTAGTTCTGCTACTTGCTACTTGCTTTTCTTCTAGTCTCTGTGGGCTCTCCCCAGTGAAAAGGGGGGTCAGCCCAGCAAAATGGCTGTATTAGTTTCCTATTGCTTCTGTAACAAATTACCAGAAACTCAGTGTCTCAAAAAACAAAAACAAAACACCACAGATTTATTATATTACAGTTCCGAAGATCAGAAGTAAAAAAAAAAAAAAAAGTCACTGGGCTAAAATTAAGGTGTGAGCAGGGCTCTCTTCCTCCTGGAAGCGCCAGGGGTAGAATCCATTTCCTTGCCTCTTCCAGCATCTCAAACCCACCCGCATTCCTTGGCTCGTGGGGATTCCTCCATCATCAAAGCCAGCAGTGCAGCATCTTTTAAATCTCTTGGTTCTTAGCTTCCTAACTGTACAAAAATAAGGAAAAGTGACCAGCCGCGTGAACTAGTAATCATTCGATAGAAATAAGCCAGTCACTATTAAGGAAAACCATCATAGTATGGGTTTGGAGACTGAGGGAATATTTCCCTGTGGTTTCTCAGAAGAAATCTGACTCTTCATCCTCCCTCTTCTATCTTGAAGGACCCTTGTGATTACATTAGGCTTACTGGTAATCCAAGGCAATCACTCCATCTCCAGGGCCTTAACTTAATCACAGCTGCACAATTCCTTTTGCCGTGTAAGGTATCATGCCCACTGGTGCCAGGTATGAGGTCATTATCCTGCCTCCTACAGCAACCATGCAGCCAGTGGCTGCACTTATGAGGTTTGTCTAACAGTGATGGGGAGCACCTGCATTCCTCTCCAGGGTAACAGAGATAAATAAAAGTACCCCCCTGCGAGCTCCCCTCTCCTTCCCCCGCCCCCTTCATGAGAGCAATGGCTGGTTGTCTTCTTGGAAGGAATCTAGTTTGGCCTGGGGTGACTCACTGGCCTTTCCACTGTGAGGCAGTGGAGTGGTCTGGGCTCTCCTTAGGACTCCTTCGATTTTACAGGACAGTGTCAAGTCCACCCCAACTTGGTTGAGTGTTCACATACATGGATGTACACTTGGCCAAATCTTTCCTCTAATGGTAGCCTCAAGCTCAGTGCTGCATACTACCTATCAAACATTCGTTGGGAGAAATGCTTTTGGGGAGACCCACTCCCCTGAGAGATGGGCGGTCCAACCATACTTTTAAGCTGGCCACAGATTAAGCCATACCGCATCCTTTTGACCCCAGGATAATTGCTTTCACTAAATTTTGCTTTACTTTGGTGTCATTAGACTACATGAGGGGTACACCCTAAGAAAAAGCATCTTGGCAATAGTTGCATTTACTGTGGCAGTTTTGTTGGGGATGTTCTTTGCACGTCAGCATCCATTTCTTCTGAGAAACCACAGGGAAATATTCCCTCAGTCTCCAAACCCGTACTATGATGGTTTTCCTTAATAGTAACTGGCTTATTTCTATCAAATGATTATTAGTCCATGCGGCTGGTCATTTTTCCTTATTTTTGCACACTGTTAGGAAGCTAAGAACCAAGACAGTCGTCCATGTTCAGCAAAGCATTAGGGTATCGGAGCCTGCATTATATACACCCACTGATAGTCCCACCCTCATGGTCCTTTTCCCCAGCTCCTTCATCTGTTTCACATTTTAGTTCTTACTGTGGTCATGTCTGTAAGCTTAGAATAAGGCACTGTAAAAATTTTTATTTCCCAAGATTTTTTTCTCTTTTGTGAGAGACATGCTCCTGACACCTTCCTCTTTGTTCCAGGAACAAACTCAAATGAAAAAAAAATAATAATAAAAACATGAAAGAAAATATCATCAGCACCAGTGTTTAAGCACTGAATCTCAGCAGAACTGAGTTTAGCACCATCGTAAAGATTGGCGCGTATGCTGATAATATGAAAACAAGTCTCAAATGCTTTGTATGCGGAGCACACTAGGATCATAAATGCCAGAATTCTAAATGGCTTGCTTGCTGTTAGCCGATTAACTGGCACTGACATTCATTTCTTTTCTAAGGGATGTTTAGCTTTTATTATATCTTTACTCATGGTCAAAAGGCATCAGCACATTTTGCTAAAGTGATTGAAGATATTCCTCTTAAGGCATTCCTTAAAGTTTTATCTCTTTGCCTTCCTGTATTTCATATGTGGGCTTGCCTTCTCAGAAAGGGAAAACAGAAACAGAAATCTGCTTTATATTATGTAGGGTTTCAATAATTGTAGAAAGCCAAGATTTAAAAAAAAAAATCAATGTTAGCATTAACCTCCAGTGAAAATATCTTCAAGACAGACTGAACCATAAGAGCTCATCTCTGATTCATCAAACCACCCAATACTGAGAACATCTCAAACCCTAGTATTATAGATGGTATATCAGGACCTCCTCTTATTTATTTCTGGGCCATTGCATCCAGAACATCATATGTATTCAATAAATACTTGTTGAATTCATGAGTAATACCTCTCACTCTCAGAAAGACTAGAGTTCCACCCCAGCCGCAGTAGACCGTGATGGGTACACAGTGTGTGCGTGTGGCAGGTGTGCAGTATGTCCTGAGTGACTAGCTCCGAGACACATCCAAATCATGGAAGAAATTACTGCCATCCCTGAACTCCAGAGCAGCAATTTTTATTTCCATTATTTTCCCCTTTGTCAAAGACACACCTGATAGATGGCATTCGCATATGCAGCCGCCCTCACGGGCGTACTTAGGTTGATGTGTAATCCCCATGGTGCCAGTGTAATCTCGCTCTGCTTCTCTCCCACTCAAGGAAATATATCAGAACACAGATGAATAAAGATGTCATTAACATGGGAACAATCTGGAATCCATGGCAATTTACTGAAACGGTAAATCATTGGCATTTCAAATAATAGTGGTTCAGAACCATGAGGCATCTCACCATGATTGACACCAAGACTCAGGGTGCTTCTCGACAGAAACCATCTCTGAGACTCACTGAGTCCTACCTAACATGCCATCTCGGAGACCCTCCCAAACTCCAGAGAAACCATCTCTGAGGCTCACCCTGTCCCCAACGCAACCATCTATATGAGCTCCTCCATCCATGTGAGTTTCATCAGAACTACAGAGGTCATCCCTACGAACGGACACAGCTCACCTAGGCATCTCATTGTCACTTGGGTGTCACCCCACTTTCATCGCCATGACCTTGAGGAAGAAGGAAGAGGACTCACACGCAGTCAACTTACCACGCCACCACCAGCCGAGTGCACGAGCACAGACATCCCCTCTCGGAGGTTGGCAACTTCAAACAGCATCATGTAGGCTGTGACGAAGTTTGTGGGCAACGCAGCAGCCTCGGAGAAGCTCATGCCATCTGGGATCTTGTAGACAAACTCCACAGGTGTGCAGACCACCTCTGCCCAGGCATTATAATTGACAAATGCCATGACACGGTCCCCAATCTGGGCAGAGGGAAGCACAGGGTTAGCAGAGGTTTCATCCCTTTTTCTGAGGAGTTTCTTAAATACTCAATAATCTAATGAAAACTATAGATTCTTTCCCAGAGGGAAAACAAAACAAAACAAAACCACCTCAAATATGCACACCTGACCTGCCTCCCAATTTCAAGGCAGGCTCTCTCCTCCTCCATGGGATGTTAGTGTTGGAAGGTCCCTTTACTGATTCAACCTCTCATCTTATCTCTCTGTGTTGGAGCTGAGGAAAATGGAGCTACAAGGAAGGTTAAAGGGGCAGGGTGAGGCATCAAATCTCCTCTGGTCTGTTCTCTGCCACCCACATGGATTTCCTGTCTGGCTAGCTCACTGTGGCATTTGTATCAAACGTTAACTCTGGTTACCAATCACAGTGGACGTGAACATGGTGCATGAGAAGAGTCACATACATCTAAGTGCAGGAGTCTGCACAAGGGCAACCAGCCTTAAAGCGAAATAGCAGCCTCCAGGTGTGACGAACAACTAACATTTATCGCACAAGTACTCTATGGCGGGCATTGTCCTAAGGGTGTCACATGTTTCAACTCTTGTAATCTTTATAAGACCCCTATTAAGGCTGGCTGAATACTATGTTCTTTTTATCGATAGTTTATATAGCCAGATACTAAGCAAAAAAAAAAAAAAAAAAAAGGGAGCTGTCATCCATTTAAAGTGGTTCTGATGGTATGCTAAGCTTTTTTTCATAGCGTATCATTACTAAGGGGAAATACAGATAAATGAGCTAATATTAATAGCTTGTAGGAGCTTCTAAGTGCTATTAATAGTTAAAGTGAGCCATTCTGCTATTTGGTATGTTAGTGGCTTGAACTATGACTTCCAAATATAATATTCAAATACCTGTGGTCATAGTGAACTTTTAATAAATTAATGGCTTTTGTATATATATTTATAATTAATTCTACTGTTTTAATTTCTTTGTAGCTTAGCATTTCTCTTCTACCCCTACTCAACAAACAACAACAAAAGCCTCCTATGAGAAGGGTTGTGTAAGAGTCCCATATCACGGATGAATGATCGTAGATTTTACAGATATTTAAATTGATGCAAAGAGAGATTAAAGCACATGCCCAACGCTTTGTAGCTAGAGAGCAGCTAGGCCAGGGTCTGAATCTAGGTAGGCCGACGCAGATACAAATAATTCATTTATCACACCTGAGATAAATGCTGCAAAGAAGACATGAAGTTATGTAAGGGTGTAAAACAGGGGAGCCTCCCAAGGCTGGGAATGTTGGCTTAATTCTTTCAGTCTCAGTTTCCTCACCTCTAAAACAAGTATAATATTAGGAAAGGGTTCTTATGAAGATTAAATGACATAATGTGCATGAAATGCACTTGGCACTGTGCATGTAAAATGAGGAAAGCACAATCAACGTTAACTCTTAAAACAGATTGGTTCCTAATCTCATGGAACTCACAGTTTAATCAAAAGCTAAATATAGACCCATGAGAGTTCATGAATCAGAAGGAATAGCTGTCTCATGAGGAAACTGACGCAAGGAAGAGGCTGTCCCACTGGCAGCGAGTGTCTTAATCCCTGGGAAGGTTGAAGACCAAATGATGAATGTTGGGAATATCGTCTTAAACTGGTCCAATGGCTTGGACCAGAGGACCACTAAGGTCTAACTCTGGCATCTTCTTTTGCCCAGAATCATGAAAACCCAAAGGTACAGACTCAATACCCGAGAATAGCCAATGGCCTGCAGTGTCAACACAGAGTGTAATGAAGAATATTTCAACCCCCTGAACAGGGATGGTCACAGTCATCACAGAAGGGCTGACTGCTCCATGTCTCTCATTTACGTTTGCTCCATCATTTCCATCTCATTGTCAAAATGAAAAAAGTGGCTAAGCCATCAGATCAGCCCCAACCCCAGAGTCCAAAGGTAGGCAACTTAAAAAAAAAATCTAATTCACTTCATGGTTTGATTTTATTAAGGAAAAAAAGAAAAACTAGTCCTAGGCGACGGAGCTGAAATTATTCCCATACTGCTGTGCCTCTGGCAATAACTTTTCAAGCCTCTCTCACAATCGATCAACCAAAAGAGCTATTCAACATGTTGCTGCATGGGATTGCATCTCCAACATGATTAAAAAATCTTAAGTCAAAATGATAGAGAGAATGTTAGTATTGGTTTTCTCCCAAATCACACCCTGACTGGAAACCTGGAGATGGTTTCTTTCATTTGTGCAGCTGAAAGTCACTGGAGGGAAGTGGGGTGAAGGGTGGGTTTGACAATAAGCAAGTCAGGGTTAAGTAGCCAAAGAAAGATCATATAGAAGGCAAAATATACAGAAGGTGCCCCAAAAATGTATATACATTTTAAGGAAGGAAAAACTGTATTAATTGTAATACTCAATATATTACCAGTAGCAAGAGATGAATACAAGTCACATTTGACTTCTGCAATTACAAGAGATGCTCAAAGTGGTTACCATCAGCATCCAGACACTTCTGATTTCGGCAAATTACTGCTTGAGCAAAGATAATATCCCTTAAAATGTGTATACATTTTTTTGGTACCCTGTACCAATAATGTCCCTATCTACTGTTATATTCTAAGATAATGCGTTGTTTATTGTGCAGGGTGAATAGAGTCAGTAATATGATCTTGTCCTTTGGGACCATGGGGAGTTGTGGAGGGCAGATAATGTTTCTTATATGCAGCATTTTCAGGGAGAGATGGTGCTGCCTCTGGTTACATTGTTTAGCTGGGGACAGAAAATGTGAAGTCATAAGCGAAAAAAAAAAAGCGTATTTACTTTTTGTTTCTCAACATTTTCCTGCTGTATTATCTGGAAACCATTGACAAAACCATTGACGGGTGGGATGAGATTTCCAGACATTCATCATAATGAATTTGGAGCCTACTGATATTTTGTCAGAGTACACGGAGGCTCAGATGCACTGAGACTGAGCAGCAGGCTCAAGTTCAATTCCAAGGGCGTTTGGGCATTGCATGTTATAGGATTTTTTTCTTCCTGAATTTAATATCGCAACATTTGCAGGTTGGGAGCAGGGTAAAGATCATTTTAAGAGATTTTATGAAGAGTGAAAAGGCTCTGGTGACATGAACCCAGGTTCAGCTACAACTAATCACCTTTCGGACCGCACAGAAAATCACTGAACCCTTATGAACCTCATCCCTAAGGAGATAGTAACAATCTTTACCTCGCAGGGTTGTGGTGAGCCTAAAAAAGATAACGTGCCTATGTTTCTGGTTATAGCGGGTTCTCAGATATTATCATAGCTTCATTCACATCTCCCTGGGAAGCACTTAGTTATAAGCGAGAGCTCTTGTACCTGATTTCCATTGGTTTTCCTGACTCCAAACTACGGTAGTTTTGTGCAATTGATTTGCCCACAGTTTTTCAGTTTTTATAGACTGGATTCTATTTTATTTGCATTATAATGGTAGGAAGGATCATACATCTTTTCACCAATTGAAATTCTTTTTTTTTTTACTATGGAGAATTTTGAACACGTACAAAAATAGTCAGAATAATATAGTGCTCCTTTCTATCCATAATCCATCAACCCATGGCCCATTCTGTCCCATTGTCAGGTACCTCTACCATTTGGCTTTACATTTTTTTATCCAAAAATGCCACTTCGCCAATGTCTGAAATAATAATTTATAAATGATCATTTAAATGCACTAGTATGTAGATACTTAAAGGAATCAAATTATAAAAATAGAGGCTATTCCTCCTCAGCTTTTGTGTTTTATAATTGATTTTTGAGCCTGGGGTGATGGGAAAATTGAAGCCATGAGCAGGAGGAGGGGGTATACACACTTAGTTAGCCAAAGACCAAAAGCCTTTCCACCAAAAGTCAGACTGTTACCTCATATCCTTTCACGCTGTCCCCCAGAGCTTCAACAATCCCAGAACATTCGAAACCAGGCACCAGGGGAGTCTTGGGGGGATTGTCGATGTTCCCTTGTCGCACCATCAAGTCAATGAAGTTTAAACCACTGTGAACAGCAAATGTGAAAAGAGAGAAATTCAAAATGAGATCCAAAAAAAAGCACTAACCTGGCTTTTCTCCTTTTCCTCGCCTCTCTCTTTCTCCCTCCCCTCATTCCTCTCTCCTTTCTTTTTCCTTTCTGCAAAAGTGTGCCTAATAGTAATGTTGCTTAGGCCAATGTCACCAATAAAGCAAAACTCGATTATCTCAGTAGACAAGTAATGCTTTCTGGCAGTTAAAATAGCAGTGGCTATTTATATGCAGCTATTTATATGCAGCATATATGCAGAGCCACACTAATTCGAAAGATAGCCCCTTTGCCCTGTCTCCAAGCCTGCTTACTCTTACTTTAAAAAACATATTGACTAGGCTGGTTATTGGCCATTCTAGCACTTAATCATGGGTGAAAAATACACTAGGAAGAAGTTATAAGGAGACACATGGAAAGCAGCCAGGCACAATGCCATCAGCCAATCTATGAGAAAGAAAGAGAAAAAAGACCTCATGGAAAAGGGCTCAAAGCCACTGTCACACCTCAGTCAGCACACACATTTACACCAGCACTGTGCCACAAACAGCACTCATCATGATGAACATGAGCCCTCAAGAGACGACATTATATCCAGCTGGAGGTGAGTGACTCGAAGAAGAGAGAACAAAGGGATGGACCAAAGGATATGGGAATGCTGGAGGATTTGTTTCAAAAACTTCAGTTATCTCTGGATAAGAAGTTATTAGGTATTTTATACTAACCTATTACTTCTGAAATAAGAAAATTATTAAATATATCCAAGTCATTCCCTTAGAAAACCATATACTTGACTCTAATGATGCTACCAACACTCCAAACTCTGTGTGTTTTTAAAGAGCTTGGGAATTGCATTTAACACCCATTTACTAATCAAATGAGGGCACACATACCTCTGAACATGGATGTTTTCCACCCAATGAGGTTCTAATATACTTCCTGTTTTCATAAGCCACCATCTACGAAAGACTCAGGCTGTAGAAACAAAGTCCTCGGTCTGGCCCATGGCCCACCGACCACAGCTGCTTTTCCAAGCAAGACAACTTGAAGTATTGCTTAAGCACAGCTTACCCATTTCTCCCGTGGCCTCTCTGAAGGCAAGGAAGCATCTAACTCCGGAGACCTGGTCTCATCCCCAGATAATTGACATTGGTGAGGAGGATGACTTCCTTCAAAAGTGTGCTCAAGGGCCGGCCGAGTGGTGCGACGGTTAAGAACTCGTTTGGGACACCAGAGAGCCCCAGTTCGGATCCCACATATGAGGGCCAGTGACGCTGCCCTCTACAACTAAGATGCTGAACAACAGCTCAACCTGGAGCTGGGCTGCCGTGAGTCCCCGGCGACGGCGTGGGCTGCAGCCCCTGTGGCAGTGGGTTGCCATGGGCTACCCTATATAGCCCCCAGCCAGCGTGAGCGGCC